GAACTTGTGGGCCATCTTGACAGCAAGGCACACGCCTGGGGCAAGACATGGTAGAGGCATCTCACTCTTGGCCTGGCAGGTCCTTCACTGATGTCACCGATGCTAGTTGTTTCAAGAGAAGAAGGCCTCATTCTGAAGATCCAGAAGCCTCTTAGATGGGACCCTCATCCCCTGCATAAAAAACGGCCTTTCCAAGATTGCTGGATGGTGCCTGGCTTTAAATCAAGTTCATCCCAGCCAGCTGTAGTATCATAGTCAAGGAGCAGGAGCAGAAGAGGGCTCAGTTGCCTGCCTTCCACCTTGTAGGCTTCCTAGAGGCACTTGGTGGGTGCCAGAGTAGAGCATGTTCCCAGCTGGGGAAGCCACTACAACGAAGCCACTGGGATTGACTCAGATCTGTGGCCAAGACGCCTTGGAAGGAAGAACTAGAATAGAGCAGCCGTTGGAGAGTTTGGACATAGGAGAGCTAGAGGTCAAATGCTGGTGCATGGGGGCTGCAGAGGACCCAAGCCCCAGGGGCCAGAGAAGCTGAATGGAAGGTCAGAAAGCTGGAAGGCAAGGGACAAGGATGAGTTGATAGTTCCTGCCTTGAGTAAAATGTACAAACAAAAGATGGTATTTTCCTACTGGAATTACTAATGCAGTTGTAGAATCTGCCTTCTCCCCTGAAAATCTCATCAGAGAAACATTTAGCAAAACCTGTGTTTCTGATTAGATTTGACCTGATGCCTTGATTTCTACCCCATGCTAGTTGCCTGACCACATTAACCAGTACTGAGCATTGTCTGGGTCAATAAAGGGCCATTCCAGTGGAGGAAGGAAGCCAGGACATGTGAGGAGGCCAGAGGAGGGATTCCATGGTCAAGGTGCCGCCTTGGTTCCTTCTCATGGTCTACAGCCCTCTGACTGGGAGCAGAGCAGAGTTAGCCGTCTAGGGTTGCTTGGCATTATGTGCCAGGCTCTTTTGTAGAGCTCTAGCAAAAGCTGACTCGACTGGCTTGTGTTCCGAGGTCCGGACTGCTCAGTGGATTCCCACGGCTGCTCCTTTGTCCATCCTCTGGAGAGGTCCCTTCACCCTTCTTCAGACAGCCTTTGTTTTGTTTCCATTCTCCCTAGTGGATGAAAGCGGACGACGTGGAGAAGTCCAGTAGTGGAATGCCAATCCGAATTGAAAACCCAAACCAATTTGTGCCTCTCTACACAGACCCGCAAGAAGTCCTGGAGATGAGGAACAAGGTACGCCGAGGTTTGGCTCTCCCAGCTGCTGTCTGAGACGGCCCCTCCTCGGGTCTCTGCCCTAGAGCCGGAGCTTCGCTCAGGGCTTCCTGGACAGAGAAGAGACTGCGACGTGGCCTGTAGATTGCTGGTGTTGTAGGGATGAGGTCTGGCCCCACCTAGCCCTGAAGGCCACTAGGTTACTTGATTCAATCCGCATTGCGCAGCTGAGCCTACCTCTCAGGGTTGAGGTGAATGTGGTGGTTCTAATGGAGAAGGAACAAGCTATGCCTCTCTGAGCTTCTGAGAAGTAGACCAATGTAACCATGGCTAATTAAGCTAATCCCCAGCATTCCCTGGGGATTTACTAAGCATGCTTTAAATTGGTAGACTAAATGCACTCTCCAGTTTTGAAATTTGCATTACGGTCCAATGTTTTGCTGCAGGCAAAGGCCCTTTTGAGCTGGGCTTTATTTTCAGCCCTCTGTGTCACGACTTGCCCGGCATCTGCGAGAGGAGAAAGGGGAGAACCGTGTCATGCGCATCGTAGTGCAGATGACACTAACCATGTCATTTGTGTCTTGACATTATGCTACAGCTGATGCAGATGACATGATTGGCACGATGGCATCATGACACCTGGCTTGCACAGGGTGCCATGCGCTGCTGTGTGGTGTGTGCATTAGAGCAGCCTTTGTCCACCTTACAGTGATGGGGAACAGTCTGCCCCCCACCATTTTCTCTCCTCCTCTTGTTCTGGGGGTGAACTGTTTACAGGGGAGACACACACACACACACCTGCCTCTGTCTTCGACCTTGGAAGGCCTCTGGGCGAGGCACAACAGAGACTTGGGGATGGTTTGGAGGTGGTCTCTCCTGGGCTGCTGGGCAGACCCATTTCCCCCGTATCCCCTTTTCCTCGGAATGGGGGTGCCGAGCGGCCTCCCCTGCCCGAAGGAAGGAAAGCAGCAGGTGAAGCCTCTCTTTGCCTGCTGGAGGCACCTGCCTCCGTCTTCCTTCACTTTCGAGCCAGGAGGGTAACCAGCGGGCTGTTCCTGCTCGGCTCCTCCCGCCATGAAGGGCCCATCTGTCTCCCTGCAGATCCGAGAACAGAACCGCCAGGAGGTGAAATCGGCCGGACCCCAGTCCCAGCTGCTGGCCAGCGTGATTGCAGAGCAGAGCAGGAGCCCGGTAGGCTTCCCTGGCGCTGGCATCGGGGCAACGGACTTGGCCTGGCAGGGACCTGGCTCCGAGGCTGTGTCCAAGCTGTGCTCTCGCATCCCCCTTCAGCTCCAGCCGTGGAGAGCAGAAACAGCCAACGCCCCAGATGTGTAGAATGGCGGGGCTGGAGGCAGCGCGGCCCTGACTGGACTTGAATCTCCAGCCTAGCAGGCTCAGCTCTGGGCTCCGGGCCCAAGTGGGGGAGGCTCTTCCACACCCATTCTTGGTGCCGCCCCCAGAAGGACTCACAATCCGTCCCCCTCCGTGACCCTGGTACATTCCAAGGGCCAAATCAGAGTTTTTCCGATTCTGCTCTGGTTTGCCTAGAACCCAGCAAGCAGGACCTTCTCTTGCAAGGCTGGGACTCTGAGCATCTGGCTCCTACCGCTTTGCTCTGGCTTCCCCAGGCCTCCCAGCCCCTGGGCTGAGGCAAACCCTCTGCTGGCCCCTCACTTGGCTGAAGACAGGTAGGGCACTTTTCTGGGTGAACCCCATTTTCATCCTTGTAATTAGAGTCACAAGCCCTATTTTTAAAAAGTCACCAGGCCTCATTTGCAGCAGGTGTGAACTCTTGCCTTGCCCAGCCTCTGCGCTGAAGCCAATCATCACACACACACACACACACACACAGTGTAAGCTACCGCCACAGTTAACACTATTGTGAAAAGAGCCTCCTTGCAAATATGCTATTGTGCTGTCTTTCCAGCATGTCCTCCTTCTAGCATTTTTAACAACAAAAAAGAATGGCACCATCATGGCGGGGGTCTCCCCCCTATAACACCCCCCCGCTTTTTTTTCCAAACTTCCCAGAGAGCATCACCCGACTGCCAGAGTGGAGGACTGTGCGCACTAGGGGCTTATTTCCTTTTACTTCTGTATCAGACAGGAATCAAGTGGGTTTTTACTCCAGGAGCAGCAGCAGCAGAGGCTGCTTGACTTGGACGCTCTCGTGGAAGAGCTGGCAGAAACATTGGTTGGCTCGTGAGATTCCCTGCCAACTTTCAGCCTTTGAAGTCGGCAAAAGTGAGGGACTGAGGGCCACGCGGGTGCCCACAGGCGCTTGCAGCCTTCGGCTGAATGGCAAAAGCAGCATTGCAGCAGTGCCTCACCACCCTCGCGCCTTTCGCCCACACGGGCAGTGTTGGGGCACATGTACAAAAGGGGTGAGGTTTACTCTGCATTGCTGCTTTCCTCACTGCGTGCACCCACTCAGCTGCACAAACATGCCACAAATGCTTTGAGAAGGCTGGTTTCAGACTGCGTTGTGGGGAGTTGTGGAATGAAAGCTGCCGTGAGATAGTTACACATGATTTCTCCACTGCTGCAGTCTACTGAGAGCCATTTGGCTGATGGAGAGATGAAGGACGTATCCCGCGTGGAGGCCTCTCCTGAGCCCGAGACCCCCAACCCCTTCAGCCAGCTAACTGACCAGGAACTGGAGGAGTATAAGAAAGAGGTGGAACGAAAGAAGCTGGATCTTGACGGTAAATGTCCTGGTGTCGTGGCTACTGAGGACTGGAAACTTGAGAAGCCTGAAGGACTGCAATGAATGCAGTAGAGACGATTAAACTCAGCCACCAAGCTCTCTCATCAGCTCAGAGAAACAAGGGAGCGTTTTTAGGGTGTCCAGAAAGTCTCAGGAGAGACTGCTATTCCATTGTTCTCAAGTGATGCCATCTGTGTGTCCAGTCCAAGTTGCACATCTTTCTTCTCTTTTCTGCCCTCTCCACCCAGGTGAGAAGAAGGACATAGGCCCTGAGGAGGAAGTGACGTCCCCTGAAGAATCCACAGTTACCCCTACAGAACAGAGCCCCACAAAGCCTGGGGCAAGGAGCCCCTCCAGGTCCCCTTCCAAGGCTTCGGAAGGTAGGTGAGCCTTTGCAGTGAAAGCATCCTGTTGCCGTCTCCATGGCACTCACTGACGCAAGACGAGGGACAGTCACTGGCTTGGATGGGATTTTAAAAAATCATAAAGAGAGATTCATCTCTGGATATTGGTCTGACAGCTAACTAGATGCAGGGGATGAGCCACAGAGAACCCCCTGGCTGGCCACTGTTGGAAACAGAATGATGGCTTAGATGGCCCCATTTTTTATGATTGCCAACGGGAAGCCCTGCTACAATAGATCCCCAGAACTGGTTGAGCGGGAACCCGGGGCGTCCTTGTGTGGGTCAGAAATATCAAGATGGTGCCTTCAGTCATGAGAGCTGTGGCTGCCACCTTGACTTTTGAACATTCCCTTTTTTTTAATTATAGCAATTTTATTAAAAATTACAAATACAACAGTAAAAATTAATACAAACTAAAAAAAAAATACTGTAAAAAGAAAAGGTAGAAGGTGCAGAAATGAAGAAAATAGAAAAAGAATATATTAAAGAAAAAACCCTCCCCCTCCATCACAACAAATATAAACAATTTTAGTAACTTATCGCCTCCTCTTAAAATACAGCAAATGATCTCTTCTTCCCATATCCCATCTCTTATCTATAAAC